CATATCTTTGCGTTTCGTGCCTTTTACCAATGTAACCCATGCTTTAGCATTTTAATCCACGTTTTCCAGAAAGCTACCCTGGAAAATTGGTTGTTACGATTTAATTTTTCTATCTCCTTCAATTTTAGGAGACTATGAATAAGTGTATGAATATTATCATCGTTCAGGACGTTTAATTAAGTACTATCTGTTTTTATTAATAATATTAAAACGCGCAAGTTATGGAGGACAGATGAATGTAAAATTGCCGTACAGTAAGCAAATACTCGCTTACATATAACTACGTCATAATTAATTAGGCTACTTTTTATTAACATCTGGTAAAAAGTTTTAAAGTAGGTATAATAAGATAAGAAAGATTTTAAGCCGTACCTAAGGGACCACTAACACCAATAAGTTACATTTAGGAAATGACATAATATAGATAAGGTTTACAAGCAGGTAAATAACGAAAACAAGATAAATTTTATACAATAACAGTCTATTTCCAATTGATTGGACCGTAAATATAGTTTCTCACACGACAGCGAACCGGGCCGAGTTAAGTAGGTAAGTACGAGATGAAACAGATATTTTATAAACGTTATTGGTTAAACGAGTATCTTTGGAATATTCATAATCTTAATAATTTTTTGTCGAACTTAGTGTTAATTCGGTAAGCTAATCTTTCTTTGTGTATTAAATTATTAAATATTAAGTTAAAAATTAATGTTAAAACCGATTTGCGACTTCCAGTATATTTTTTAAAATATGCTACTATGTAGGTCGTATATCTATACAGAATCATCACCTAGGATAAATAACATTCCAAAGAGGGGGTGTCTATCTGGTTTACCTATTGTTAATTGTCAATCTTTGTAGTTATATGTGATCAAATAATAATGTGATATTTAATGCTGTTAAAATACTTGATTTTCAAATTTCTCCTTCCATCATTAAGGTCACTAATCCACTTAAAGTTTTTGATGTATCCAAGTATGTACTAAGTCTAAACTCTATCTCCCTAACAAGAAAGTTTTTCAATCATATTATTTCATTAAATCTACGAGAACGCTAGTACCTACCTAGTTAGCGTAACTGACGTACATTACCTATTATGAGAGACAGATTTAATTTAACTTGGCTACTATTCTGCGTTTACGTTTGAACTCGTTCCTCCTAACGTAATATGCATACACATTCAATTCACATTCAATATGGAATAACATTAAATTGCTAGTCTGCTAGTTGGTCTACTCTATTGTAAACCTAGTTCATTTAGAATAGAGTTTGAAATCACACGAAGCTTTTGAGGCCTTGAATTAAGCAAAATATTTATTCATAATCTTTTATTCGATCGTGATTCATTCCAATTAGTTAAATTACTATGAATGGAATGACTAAAGTTCAATAATCTCAACATTAATATGTTCTGTAGAAGCAATCGTGGAGCGAACAAAGTTCCCTAATACATTATAACGTTAAAATATCTTAAGACTGTACGAAAGCATCTGTAGATGCCTACTTATTATTGTATAATACAACCTACAAATATACAAACTTTCAAATACGTGTATTTGCTTATACAAACAAGAAAGTTAGCGAACAATATAAAAGTAATGGGATAGAATGAGACGGTCGTCGTGAGCGCGTATTGGTGCGACAGAGAAGGAGTTATTCAAATTGAGGGTACATATTTCTACATAGGTAACAAATAGCTAGTCGAGAATAGTATGGACATTCCTTTTATTGATTTTTCATTGAGTACTTAATTTATTGTTTCCGGATAAAATCTACTTATTGAAATATTAGTTTAATTGGTAATTAGGTACTATTTACTCTTATATCCTTAAAGAAGGTTATAAAAGTAATAAAAACAGAAGCCTGTTACCATTTCCCTAGTTAGATGAAATTAAAATTTATGTTATAATAAATTACAATAACTTAGGTACCTTTTGAGAGCTTTTTCTAAGTAGGTATTTATGTTTCAAACTGTAAAAATTCCAGGAAAATGAAACCGTTCCATGATTGTCTCGAAAGAAAAGTAATTCCATACTTTGTACGGCCCGTAAAGAGGGCGTGGGTGGTAACTAGACGTTATGAATTGCCTTAGGCGTCTGATTGAGCTTAATATGTTTAATGTTCCCTTAGAAATACGGAATTGTACTTCTTTTCAGACAAATTCTTGTGTTCTAATTTATTTTGCTCTAGCAATGTTCTAGTTAATTTTTGTATTACACATACCACATGGGAATTGAATCCAGGAATATATCGGATCGAAAGGGTCAACTAGATATCGTTACCTGCTATGATGGTAATCTTCATGGTGCTCAATATTAGTCGGGTATTTCCACGTTATGATTACGGAACAAAAAGTAGAAAAGTTGAAGAGAGTTGCAGGAGCAACTTCAAAAACAGGTATTTACACTGTTTGAATATGTAGGTTGTGCAGGTAGTTTCAGATTTTTGTACTAAATTGGGCTTGATAATCCTATTAAATTGATAAGAAGAAAATGTTGTAGACAAATATTCAGATTCAAAATTATGAGCTTTGTATCTAAAAAGTGGGATTAATTTACATGTAGAGCTTTTTGAATTATACCTAGTCGTAAATTAACTCATAAAACATAGACTTTTACAACATTATTATGGTTATTTGTACATAATATAATAAGCTTGTAATATTGATAGTTATTACTGGTTTAACAAGACGCTTTATCATATTTTAAACAAATGTTGTCGTGAAACACAATTATTCTTAGTAATGTAGAGTTAATGCAGCACTAATGCTCATTTTAATGAATAATTCAACAATAAAATTCTAAAACCGAATAACATTCGATATTAAAGTACTGATGCGCCATCTAGCGATGCCTCGAGGTGGCACTTAACAAGGTTTAGATGGTTCTAAAGCTAGCAACCGAGGCCCCTTCACCGGAGCTTTAAGCTTTGTTGAAAATTTCGAAGCTTTTTAACTTACAGCCGTTGCCAAAGATGGCGCTGTAGTGATGATTTATCATTTGTTTCGAAACGAATAAAATTCGTTTGTTAAGAAGATCATGGTCATGTTATTAAGATCACAAGTAATTTAATCTTGCCACAAGCAAATGTTAACTAGGCCACTAATTAATTATTCATCAATATTCTTACATTTGGTAAGTATGTTGATTGCAGTGATAATATTTTGTGTTGTACAAGGTAAAAAATTATCTAAATATTTTCATTACATGTAAAACATAAAAAAAATGCATTCAATTAGAAAGCTCTGTGGATTTTTTTTTCTTGAAAGTATTGTACCTACGTGGTCTCAAGACCTTTATTATTATGCTAAGTATACTAATTGGGATGATGACTGGGTAATAAAATCGAAATTCTATTTAGTCCGTTAGACAGATAATAAAAAATATTGGACACGTATTTTTCATTTTTTTTCGTAATCGAATCATTACATGGCAGTATTTTGAGTTGAATTTTGTCATCTAGTCTATTCTAGTATTTTTGTATTGTACCTACTCAACTCTATTAATTAATATATTATTATTAATTATTCTCTAATATCAGCTAGTTAACAAAACTTAGCTTTTCAGTCATTCATCATTTTATCGTGTTTGTATTTTTAGCCTTTCTACGAGAAGTGAGAGTGATGGATAATTTCGAATAATCAATAAATAATAAGAACATTATTGTAAAGACAACGGTCGCCAAAGCATACACTTGGCAACATAAGTATACCCGTAAAAAATAGATTGTGCAAAAAAAAAAGCTTCTCGATGAGCTGTATATTTGAGTAATAATTACTATTTTTGTTTGTATTTACTATAGTCATTCTCGATTTACGGTTACTAACCATTTCAATAACTTTAATGTAGGTTAATACTAAGTTTACATGAATGAATTCAGTTCGCTCAGTTGATGTTGTTAGGAGGAGGTTAATGAGAAAGCTTTCCTAGGTACTAGGTAATTGAAGAGGTAAAAAATAGATAAATGTTTAGAACTATTTATAAGCCCTGTAGACTATTCTTACTACAACAAACACATAATTTATGCAATTAAAATATAGGAACCGGAAATAGGTCAAAAAAAATAATGTTACACAGTTCATTTGGAATATTTTATTTAAAACTCATTTGCACAGACAGCTAGACCATATCTAGTCTCGGTAAAATATTATTAAATAAATTCATGTTGTAAGATGACATACGTAATTATATGTCTTACGGAAACTGTTTTTTTTGAGTGAATCGACATCACAATTTAAAAACCAATAATTTTAACTATTGCTACAACTTTAAATAAATAAAAAGAAATATAACTACAACCAGTATTCACAGGCAAAGGTTGGTACAAATTAATGCAGCCGCTTTAATTTGTGCTTCAATATTTATTCACGACCGCAAAAGCCTGTTGAGCTTTCGTACCAACCTCGATCTGAATCTTTCGACGCGTTTAAGTCTACCAGCACTTTAATATCAAAAGTTACAAAAGATCCTACAATATGTTTTAATTATTTTTATCATATTGTAAATGGTTTTTACAAAACGATTAAAAATATTGACCAGCACTCACTAAGTGCTATAAAACGCATTCGACGAATTAAGGAAAACAAGGTGCCGTCGTTTTCACTAAGACGAAGAAGCAGGAAAAGCGCGGGCCAAGGCGGCCGCGTCGACCGGCGCTTTTCGGACCGCGGCCGGCGTACTCGTTTTATTTCTAAATTATAATAGTCACTGGTCTCAAAACATGGCTTAAGTACTATACACCTAAAATATATAAATTATTACAAATTAAGTAAGGCATTTACAACATCAGGGAATCTTAAGATTTACTTCATATTTACACGATACTAAACCACTAACTGTAACATCGTGTAAAAACAAAGACATTGACTAAACTTATTATCGGTAAAACAATTAAGTTTACATTATGTAAAATGGTCAAGATTTCGGCGATCTAATGACCTACGAAGCTTGATTTGTGCAATTATGTAAATATTATAGTGAGATTTTACAGCTTCGCTTTGGTCAATACAAAATTTTTTTGAATGACATAATATAACAAAGTTTTGAACATCTTTATCATAAAGCCATAGTCGTTTACAACTTAGCACTATCGTTTGGCACTGGCTTTTGTTAAGAAAAACATAAATAATAATAATATTAATAAATAAGTCTTAACAAAGACTCAAAATTGTAATAAATTCAGTTTTAGAAAATTATTATTTATAATTTAACATTTTAATCACAGTCATGATTGATTCATTAATTGAACGGTGCCACGACACTTTATGAAAAGTAAAATATAATATCGATTACTACATATGACACGAAATCTTATACTACTCCATCGGGATAATTTGAGCATTATTCTTGTGCATAGAAGAGTAGATGGAAATAATTATCACATAGGCGCTATCCTTGTGATCACGTGTTCAGTTAAAGTGACGAGCTCTGCGAGGTATTTCACCTCCGCCGCTTGGCTGAGACGGCGGCGGCGATCATCTGCCGCAGCATCGGCTCGGGGGTGCACGCCTTGGGGTCGCATTTCATTTGACCGTCTCCTCCGCATCTGTAATGAAATTAGCATAGACATTAGTTACTGATCACTCAACCTCGTATAGGTACTTCACATGAAGCGTAAGTGAAAAAAACTACTTCAGCGAAACTTAAACCTTTTAAATTGTCAAAAGAAAAGGAATGAAAATGAGTTTAACTTACGTGCAATGTAAACATGGTCCAGATGAAGCGCGAACAACTTCGCCCACTTTGTATGTATGTCCTTTTATTTGGCAGCCTCTTCTTTGTGCTGCGCCTTTGTATGCGTGGGGAAGGAAGTGTGGCGGCAATGTCGTGGTAGTTGTCGTCGTGGTCGTCGTAACATTAAGAGTAGTAGCCATAGCCACAGGACATTCGTATCGCGGACAACAGAATCCTTGTATTGGTTCTTCGTGGCAACCGTGAATTGGAGGTGGGCAGCTCTGTTGTAAGCAAATGATGTCGCTTCTGAAGCAGAAGCAGAAATCGCAAGGATCATCTCTAGGTATTTGCTGGGCTGAGACGTATACTTTTCCGCCGTAGCGACACGTGCCGGGTCCGAAAGCTTGGTCTTCCTCCACGTAGTCGGGCTCAGTGCCATATCCGCTGGTTCCTGCGCTGGGCGGGAATGGACTTTCGTCGTCTGGAACCTCATCTGTGGGATGCATGTCACCGAATCCAGGTTTCGATATTTCAGGAGAGGCTGTCGATGCAGGTTCTGTGGGTTTTTCTTCTGGCATATCATGAGGTTTCTCTTCTGGTACTTCTTGTGGTTTCATTTCGGGTACTTCTTGCGGTTTCTTCTCGGCCTCTTCCTCAGGTTTCTGCTCGGCCTCTTCCTCAGGTTTCTTCTCTGCGTCTTCAGGTTTCATCTTAATCTCATCCTCAGGTTTCTTTTCCACCTCATCCTCAGGTTTCATCTCAGCCTCTTCCTCAGGTTTCTTCTCGGCCTCTTCCTCAGGTTTCTTCTCAGATTCATCCTCAGGCTTCTTCTCAACCTCATCCTCAGGTTTCATCTCAGCCTCATCCTCAGGTTTCTTCTCAGCTTCGCCCTCAGGTTTCATTGCAGCCTCATCCTCAGGTTTCTTCTCTGCCTCTTCCTCAGGCTTCTTCTCGGCCTCTTCCTCAGGTTTCTTCTCAGATTCATCCTCAGGTTTCTTCTCAACTTCATCCTCAGGTTTCATCTCAGCTTCATCCTCAGGTTTCTTCTCAGGTTCGCCCTCAGGTTTCTTCTCGGTATCATCCTCAGGTTTCTTCTCGGTATCATCCTCAGGTTTCTTCTCAACCTCATCCTCAGGTTTCTTCTCGGGTTCACCTTCAGGTTTCATCTCAGCCTCATCCTCAGGTTTCTTCTCAGCCTCCTCCTTAGGTTTCTTTTCGACCTCATCCTCAGGTTTCTTTTCGACTTCATCCTCAGGTTTCTTTTCCATTTCATCCTCAGGTTTCTTTTCGACTTCATCCTCAGGTTTCTTTTCGATTTCATCCTCAGGTTTCTTTTCGACCTCATCCTCAGGTTTTTTCTTGGCCTCATCCTCAGGTTTCTTTTCGGCCTCATCCTCAGGTTTCTTTTCCGCCTCATCCTCAGGTTTCTTTTCCGCCTCATCCTCAGGTTTCTTTTCCGCCTCATCCTCAGGTTTCTTTTCGACTTCATCCTCAGGTTTCTTTTCGACTTCATCCTCAGGTTTTTTCTCGGTCTCATCCTCAGGTTTCTTTTCCGCCTCATCCTCAGGTTTTTTCTCAACCTCGTCCTCAGGTTTCATCTCAGCCTCATCCTCAGGTTTCTTTTTGATCTCGTCCTCAGGTTTCTTTTCGATTTCATCCTCAGGTTTCTTTTCGATTTCATCCTCAGGTTTCTTTTCGATATCATCCTCAGGTTTCTTTTCGACCTCGTCCTCAGGTTTCATCTCAGCTTCATCTTCAGGTTTCTTTTCTGCCTCTTCGTCAGGTTTCTTCTCGGCTTCTTCCTCAGGTTTTTTCTCAGCCTCATCCTCAGGTTTCTTCTCAGGTTCGCCTTCAGGTTTCATTGCAGCCTCATCCTCAGGTTTCTTCTCTGCCTCTTCCTCAGGCTTCTTCTCGGCCTCTTCCTCAGGTTTCTTCTTAGATTCATCCTCAGGTTTCTTCTCAACCTCATCCTCAGGTTTCATCTCAGCCTCATCCTCAGGTTTCTTCTCTGCCTCATCCTCAGGTTTCTTCTCTGCCTCTTCCTCAGGTTTCATCTCTGCCTCATCCTCAGGTTTCTTCTCTGCCTCATCCTCAGGTTTCTTCTCTGCCTCATCCTCAGGTTTCTTCTCTGCCTCATCCTCAGGTTTCTTCTCTGCCTCATCCTCAGGTTTCTTCTCTGCCTCATCCTCAGGTTTCTTCTCTGCTTCATCCTCAGGTTTCTTCTCGGCCTCTTCCTCAGGTTTCTTCTCGGCCTCATCCTCCGGTTTCTTCTCGGCTTCATCCTCAGGTTTCTTTTCGACCTCATCCTCAGGTTTTTTCTCTGCGTCTTCAGGTTTCATCTTAACCTCGTCCTCAGGTTTCATCTCGGTCTCTTCCTCAGGTTTCTTCTCAGATTCATCGTCAGGCTTCTTCTCAACCTCATCCTCAGGCTTCTTATCAACCTCATCCTCAGGCTTCTTCTCAACCTCATCCTCAGGCCTCTTCTCGGGTTGACCCTCAGGTTTCATCTCGGTCTCATCCTCAGGCTTCTTTTCGGTTTCATCCTCAGGTTTCTTCTCTGGCAATTCGGTTGGTTTTTCTTCTGGAATTTCTTCAGGCTTCTCTTTAGTTTGGTCTTCCGGAATTTGTGGTGTTGGTAGGGGTTTTTCAGGTTCAGTGAATTCTGGTTTTTCTGTGTACTTTTCTTCAGATTCATCCAAAGGTTTCTCGGTTCCCTCCGAAGGTTGTCCCTCAGCTTCTTCCAAAAGTTTCTTATCTGGTATCTCTGTAGGCGTTTCTTCTGCTTCTTCTACAGGCTTTCCAGTCATTGCTACAGGTTCTTCTAATGGCATTTCTGTTGGCTTTTCTTCGCCTTCTTCTGAAGGCTTTCCTTCTTGCCCTTCTTCGGGTAAGCCTAGAGGTTTTTCTGAAGGTGTTACCCCTCCTTCTAATGGCTTCTGTTCCACGTCTTCTACGGGTTTCTCAGTTATTTCTTCTTGAGCCTTCTCAGTAGATTTTTCAACAGATTGTTCAGTTGTTTCTTCCTGTGGTTTCGGTGCTAGCTCATCTTCGGGTTTTTCATCAGTTGGTTTATCCTCTGGTTTGCCAGATTCTAATTCTGGTTTTGAAGTTGAAATTTCCTCCTCTTCTATACTTGGTACTTTACCTGTTACAGTGCTAACTTCTTCAAGCATTGCTGTTTCATGTGACAACTCAGATTCTGTAACAGTTTCAGTCGGAACTTTTTCAGTCTGTACTGGAATTTCAATATCGGATATCGGTTGCTGTTCTTCTTTAGTGTCTTTAGTACCACTAGTAGTTGGAGCAACAGTCTGTTCACTTTCTTCGTCAAATGATGGTCGGGACGTTGTTAATTTTTCTTCTTCAGCTTCAGTAACTGCTGCTTGTCTTTCTGTAGTTGCTACCGGTTTTGGTTCCTTGTCATCAGATGGACCGGTAATATAATCTTCCTCAGTAGTGGCCTCAGTAGAGACTTCTTCAACTGGTTTGTGGCTATGTTCTTCCAATTCAACTACATCAGGAATAGTATGTTGATCAACTGATTCAGGTTCTTGCGTTCCATGTAGCATTGGTTCTTCCGTAGCCATCTCCGATTCATATCCTTCCGTTGCCTGTTCTGACGAAGGCTCCGTGACCATCGTTTCTGGTGATTTACGTGTGGTCAGTTCCATTACTGCCTCATCAGCTTCTTGTGGTTTTTCTGAAGGTTTATCTTCGCTTTCTGCTTCACCAGGTACGGAACCTGGCAATGAACTTGGTGTGGTTTCTTGTGATACCAAAACAGTGTATTTTTCTGGCAGATCCGAATCTGATAACGATGACGTTATATCTTGTGGTACTTTAGTAGATGATTCTAGAGGTTGTTTGGACGATTCTTCAGTTGTTGCTTTTTCTTGTTCAGAAACTAGGTCTTTTTCAGTTTCATGTGATGGCTCAGTTACCGCTGTGTCTAATCCCGTAGAACCTTCAGGTGAATAAGATGGTTTTTCGTCACTTGGTTTTTCTGTAGCCTTGGTTTCTTCTTCCTTATCCTTTGGCTCAAAGACTGGTTCTTGTTGCTCCACAGGAATGACCTCATGTGTAGGTTCAGTAACAGCTTCTAATAACACTGTAGATATTTCTTCAGGTGTTCGTGTGTAAGTTTCTTGAGGTGTTTCAGGCTTCTCTTCAGGTTTTTTAACGTGATGGTCTTCATCGGGTTTGTGCTCGGGAGTTCTTGAAGGCATTTCTTCGGACCCTTCTGTTCCAGTTTGATCTGGTGACGGTTTTTCGTGTGGTTCGCTAATACCCATTGTTGTTAATGCTTCAGCAGTTTCAGTAACTGGTTCTTCAGGTACTTTCACATGTGGTTCTGCTTCCTCTGGTTCTTTCACGTGTGATTCTGGAGCTCTGGTGACATATGGTACGTCACTTTCCGTAACAAGAGGTTCGGTTGGTTCTTCTGAACTCTCTTTTTGGACTATTGAAGGAACTGTAGTCTCCTGCATTTCAGAGGTTTGTTCTTGTTCGTGTTCAGATGGTTGTTCTTTTGTCTTTTCTGTAGTAACTGATTCTTTTTCTTGTTGTTCTGTTACAATATCTTCCGGAGCTGAGGTCTTTCCTGGTTCCTCATATACCGTAGGCGTTTTAGTTGTAATTGCTTCTGGAGCCTTTGTCTCCAGATCTTCCACTTCGGTTGTATCTTCGAAACCTGTTCGGTCGGGGGTCTTGGTTTCAATTTCTACATCTTCATATGGCGATGGTGTTTGGATATCAACGTCGACGTGTGGGATTTCATTTATGATGTCAGATTGTGTCGTAGACGATTCAGGTGTTTCTGGGTGAACTGGGATAAATGGCTCGGATGGTATTTTATCTGTTACTTGAGATTCTTCCCCTGGAAGTATGGAAGGTTCTTCCGTGCTAATTTCTTGTGGTTCAGTTATTCCTAGTTCAGGTTTCTCTGTCTTATGCGTTTCTTCCGGACTACTTGATGGCTGTTCGCTTACTAATGTAACTGGAGTTTCAGTAACAGTTTCATCTAATTCTGTTACTTTAGGTTCTTCCGCATGTTGATCTTCTTCGTCAGAGCTAGTGACAGCTGGTTTCTGTGTTATGTCTTGTGTTATCTCATTAGTATCAGGACTCTCAATAGGTTGTTCTTTATGCTTATCGTCAACTTCTTCTGGTTCTGAAGCAGTCGTCTTTTCACCCAACACTGAAGCTCTTGTTGTGGTTTCTCCTTTAATATCTTCATCAGATGCCTGGGTAGTATCCTTTTCTTTAGTGTCAGTTATTGGTGATTCTGAAGTGGCATGTAACTTGGTATCATCTTCTGAAACAGGTTCGCTAGGCTGTACCATCGGTTCGTCGGTAGAATACTCAGGTTCTTGGCCAGGCAAAGCGGGTTCGGGACTTAATTCATGTGATTGTGTAATGTATTCTCCAGGAGTTTCTGTGAATGGCTCTTGTTTTTCTGTTTTAACCATATCTGGAATTAGTCTTGTTACATCTTCAAATGGCTCTGACGTCTTTTCAGGAACGGACTCTGTGACACTTTCACCAAGATGATGCTCTGTAGGCGCGTTTGTAAATGGTTCTTGTTCAATTTCTTTCTCCGAAACCGTATGAGAGGTATAGGTATCAGGCTCCAACGAACTAGACGCTAATTTGCCCTCTGTGGTTACTTCTTGCTCGTATTCTGCAGTCATTTTGTGTTCGTCTAATTCTACTGGTTCCGAAATTTCAGTTGCCTTGTCGAAGATTTCATTTGATTCTGTAACATGTGGTTCCGTAACCTCATGTTTCATATCTGATTCTGATGTATATGGCACAGGCTCTTCGGTAACCTTGTCATGCTCATGTGGCATTGAGATTTCAGTTTGTTCTTGTTCAGGTACTTTAGTAGACATGACTTCATGGTGTTCTTCTAATTCTGTCTTTGTTTCTTCTGTTTCAGGAATACTTGTGGAAGAGTCCTGTGGCTTAATGGTTATATCGATATACTGTGGTTTTTCAGTAGATTCACCAGTTTCAGTTTCCAAATCAGATTTAGGTGTAACGTCTTCCAATTTGGTAACATGCGAGTCCATTTCTACTTCTTCAGGTCTCTTCGTAACAGCGTCAGTGTCACCGTACTTAGTTTCAACAGTTGCTGCGACTTCGGGCTCTGAGGTGGATATTTCCTCTTCTATCTCTGGTGATTTCGTAACTTTATCATCTTTATCAAATGTAGGCGCTGTAGTATGGTCAACATCAAGAGCCGGTTCGGTTCCACCAATTTTGTCTTCCGGAGATGCTGGTGCGTCTGTTGCTTGAGATAATGGACTAATTGTGCTACCTTCTTCTAATGTAGGTTCTATTTTTTCAGTTGGTTCGTGGTCACTCACACCTTCAGGTGATTTAGTTTCTTTTTCAGGTAATTCTGTTTCAATTTCATGTCTTGCGGTAGTTATTTCAAGCTGTTCTGTAGATTTAATACCCATATCTTCTGTTACTGGTATATTCTTATCATCATCACTGGATGGCACCTTTTGGAGACATTCAGAGTCTGAACAGTCCGAAGGTACAGAACCCTCCACTTCCCCGGTTTCTTTTCTTCTGCACGATGTTTCCGTACAAGGTTCAGTTATTTCACCTTGTGGTGTCTTACAATCTCCTTCACAGCTTCCACCTTCTTGTTCCGGAATAATAGGTTTATTGAGATCATCTGTGCCACAATCTGTTCCACTGCATCCAGTATGAACACTAATACATTCCTCACCTTCACACGGTACTGTCTCAGGTACGGGTACTTTACAATCCGATTCATTTTCGCCACAAAGTGGTGTATGTTTAACAGGTATAATTTCGGGTTCAATACCGCATTTGCCATTTTCGCATTGAGTTGTCGGCGTTTCTTGACAGTTGCCATCAGTACATGGTTGAGCTGGGAATGAACATTTACCATCATGGCAATCTTCTGATGGGGTTTCCGGCACTGCGACATGTCCATCACCACATCCAGCTGATCCACAATCACCCTCAACAGGAATGTCATGTTCTTTTTTCACTTCACATTCATCACCGTGGCACTCGATCGGTGAAGATGGCAGTGGGCTATCTGTTCCAGCCATTTGACTGTGTGGTTGAGGAGGTATGGTTTCTCCAGTTTCGCAAACGTATGTTGGACAGCATGCATCAGGCGAATCATAGGTAGGTTGACAATTATTCATATACTCTGGAGGGGGACTGCAAATAATTGGATCACATTTTATTATACTACTAACACATCTGCAGCCTGTATGGCAGTTATTTGAACTTGGTACATTGCTATTATTTCTATAAGTTATATCATTGAGTAAGCAATCGCCTTCTCCTGGAATACGGCCAGGCGGAAGAGTTGTTGAAATATCTTCAACTTCATTTTCTTCCGCACTTGTAGTTTCAGACTCGTCTACTTTTTCTACAGTTGCTGCAGTCGTTCCAGTATGAGCAAGCTCAACAGAGTCTGTAGTTATTTTTTCAGTTGACTTGCTATCTTCAGACGTTGTTATTTCTAAAGCTGATTCGGTAGTAGATTTCTGTGGTGGAATTTCTTCTTCAATGTCCTTCTGTGTAAATTCTGGTGTCAATGTTGTTTGTTTTTCAAGTTCTTCCATAAATGGTGCTTTAGTTTTCGAGCTTGTAACATCTTCTTCAGTTTCCTTCTCGACCTCTGGTGTCTGCGTAGACACTTTTTCAGGTTCAGTTAGATCATAGATTTTGGTAGGTTCTCCCAAAGAATCCTCCTTCCTGAAAGCTGATTCTGTGGTGCTTGAACTTTCTTCAGACTTAATTGTCACCACTGGCGTAGAGGCGTCTTCGGGCGAGGGTGTTTTTTCTTTACTTTCATCCGTTTTTTCATCACTTGTTGTTTCGGTAACCTCTGGTTCTTCCGATGGAGTTTTTTCCGTAATCGAAGGTTTAAACATTTCTTCATCACTTGCGTCACTTGGAACAGTGTTGAGACCCTTATCGGGTTCTGTAGTCTTTTCAACTTCTTCTAATGTAGGTGTTCTAAGTGTGGTCTTGCTGGGATAAGAAGATTCGTCTGTAGGTTCACTACTGATGTCAGGCGTTTCTGGCGTTAATTTGTAAGTATCATCAGTGATAGATGACTCCGTTGGTTCTTCATAACCACTTCCTTCAGGTTCTGTTATCATAGGAGGTTCAGTGAAAGCAGGTTCACCAGGTTCATGTCTGTAGCCACTGCCTTCAACTCCAACTCTTCTGGGAGGAGATAAGGTGGTGAGTTCTTCCAAATATGATTGAGTTGTGAATTCAGAAGGTGGCTCTGTGGTGACTTCGTCTCCTTCACAAATATAAGTATCTGGACAACATTGTCCTTCTCTTGGTGGTTGTGAGGCGCAGTTTTTGCCTTCATTTTCCATGGGCGTTCCACATTCTTGCACCACACAAACAATGTCTCCCTTCATACAATAACAATGTTCACATGCCTTTTCAGTTTTGATTAAAGCACCATCAGGGAAGATTTGATCATCGTGAACGCAATCCTGGGACATTTGCGTCACTGGTGACAAAGTGGTGGTAGTCAATAGGAAACCAGGTGTGGGTCGTACAGTCGTGGTCATGTCATCCAAAAGCAGCGTTGAATCCTCTGGGTGATCTGAAATAAAACATGAATATTCTAAGTAAAATCTGAAACTTGGGCCAATTGTTACAACTAATGAACGTTAAAAAACTATTAAGTTTACTTAATGGAGATTTTTATAGCAAATCATAATAAACTTACGATTATAAATTCGCTTTGCCAAAAAAAATGCAAATAAATAAAATAATAATTACCACAAGAGTAGCGGACAGGACAGCAGACGTCTTTGTGGTAGATAGGAGTACATCCATCCACATGAAGAGTACACTCTTGCATAACACAGGTCGTCATATTTCGAATGCAGTAGCAGTGTTCGCATGGTTTGTTCGGAGTCGGCGGTACTTTCGAGCCCTCGGGGAAGTATTTTCCGTTGATGCTGCACCCGTATTTGTCTAATTTTCCAAGACCAGTGGCGCCATACTCGGCAGGCGATGTTGTTGACGTTGATGTTAGTAGATCAACTGGAACTAAGAATAAAAATAATAAGACATAGAAAAGAGAATCTAAGAAAAAAAAAACGAAATTAATTTTGGAATAAAACAGTGTCATGATAATACTCGTACATACATAAAGAAATAGATAGGTAGTTATCTAATTCTTCTAATATTTATCATCAGTTAGAGCAGGTTTTATGAAATCATATTAGTAATAGTCCCGTAACCCCCTCGTGGTAAGCAACGATTGTCAACACAGTGAGTTCACCGCAATTTAATAGTTCTGCGGCGTAGTTCGAACCCGCGTTCCGGAGACTTGGTGACATTTCATCCGAGAAAATCTGATCCGCGGATGAGTTGTCTCCCTTTCAAATGGCAATGCCAGATTTTGTATGGAAGGTGGCGTCTTTTTTTTTTCGCGCGGCCATCGACCAAACTTTGTTTTTTGATTACAAAATAGTGTAATAAACCAAACTTACTATGACATGTATACCTCTAAACTCAGTCTGAACTGAGTTACGAGCGTTAGAAGTTTGATGATTTACATACTAGATTTGCATTTTGCGCGCAAGTTTTGTAAGAAATTGCAACAAAATATTGCGCTATTTTTTTATTGCGCTGATTCTGCTCCACACTGATGTCTGGAGCCTTTAATGGATGGTATTGCTTGTTTACACATACAATGTCACTATTTTGTTGCAATTTCTTACAAAACTTGCACGCAAAAAGCAAATCTAGTATGTAAATCATCAAACTTCTAATGCTCGTAACTCAGTTCAGACTGAGTTTAGAGGTATACATGTCATAGTATGTTTGGTTTATTACTCTATTTTGTATCCAAAAAACATGATTTGGTCGATGGCCGCGCGAAAACAAAAAGACGCCAATTTCCGGCATTGTCTTTTGTTAGGTGTCGAATCATCCGGAAAACATTTATCTTCGGATCAAACGTCACCGTTTCTAACTTGGAAGATAGATCTAATTTAATTAAATTACCTAATATATTTCGGATGAGACTACACTTCCAAGTTTGAAACGGACACTATTGGGCTATTGTCGCTTTAAATCTCTAATTAATTTTATATACAATACAAACTAAAAAGTAAAGCAACAATAAAATATTTACCATCTGGGCAAGTGACGATAGGGCAGCACTGGTCTGCCCGCTTCTCAACAGTGCAGTCCTGGCCGATGGGCTTCGTGAACGGGCATACCCGCAGGTAGCACATCAACATGCGGTTGTGGCAAGTACAGTTCAGGCAGGGCTCGTTGGTCATAATGCGGTCTCCCTCGCCATAGTGCTGGAAATTGTAGTAACATCCCTCAACTGGACCTGAAACGCAAAAAGTTTTCTGTTAATAAAAAATATCTCGTAGTATTAAAAAATATATAGATTTAATTTATTCTAAGATGATGCTCTGGTATCTTAATTACATCTATAAAGATAGAAGATAAGTTAAGTAGTTTTATTAGCACTGTTCAATACGGAACATAAAAAATTAAAAAAGTAAAAAATATTGTCTATGATTAGATTGGTCTTTGCTCTATGCTCTCTCTTCTATTTTGGAGCGCAGCGCAGCCATATTGTGTGCATTTATAAATTGGTTTCAATAAATCAAATTTTGCTATAAAATACTCCGCCTGTTTTATTTAACAAGCACAGTTTTTATATTATTATTTATTTATTACCAATGCGAGCTACGAAGCTCAACATAAAACTGGTAGTTGTGGTTACAACCCACGCAACTACGTCAGCCTTTTATAAATTTTATGAATGAAAAATCGAAAGTAGACAGTTGTTTAGACAGTGATTGCTCATATCGACAGTCATCAATTAGATAAAGGCCGACAAAACCGTTAAAATAACAGCGTGACGAGTTACGACTACGACGCTACGAGCTACGAAACATTGAACGCTACGGCTACGAAATATGAACTTATCAAGTATCTTTTAAAGCACTCACAGACTGTGAAATCTTTTGATTTTAATTTGATTTTCTTATTTAAGTTCAGTTAATGAGCAGTAGTAGTATTAACAAATTATAATATGATATATGAAGTATAGATATAGTGATAGTGCTACATAATTTAAATTGTAAGTGTAGAGTGACTTGCAATACATACCATCGTATAAATCTAATGCAGTCTGGTTGCTAGCCGTAGGAGCTGGAAAAGATAAAATTTTAAAATTAAAAATAAGTTAGTAACTAATTGCGTTGACTAAACGCAAGTTTATTAGATAACACATAGCGGTAAAAATTAAAGAAATTTGCTCTAAGTCGGTGCTTTAGAAAAATATAATTGGGACAGTTAAAATTTATACCTTGTCGTTTTATGAAGTTGTTGATGACCAATGGTGCAGAACTCAATAGAGTAGATAATATTGCTTAAGTTATGAAGTCGTCGTTATTAAAGTATTTTAGTTTCAAATGTATTCGATACTGGTCGAGAATGCTTTAGTGCATTAAGTTCGCCTTATGTACAAATTTATTTTGGCATAAAAGTTTAAATAAATAAATGCAGTAGCTAACTTGTTGGAATCACACAATAACTTAAACGTGTAAGAACCATAAATTTGTAAGCAAGCGCAATCAGTACAATCGGAAAGCGACGTGTGGAAAATTAGTTCCGCCTGCGTACTATGCCATTGAAAATTCAATATTCTGGACATTACATTGGTACTTGATTACTTTCCATGCTACGTTACTCTAAGGACCGTTATAACGATAGCTGTATACAATCTTTCAATTCATTCAATAAAATTTTGAGTAAGCTAACATTATCACTAGAAGCTTCAACAACGTGTAGCAGCTAGTATAATGGAATTTGACGTTGGTTTATTAAAGTTTAGTGATTTTATATGAGAAATCTTAACAGCTTTGATAACTTTGGAACTTGGAATGTATTTAAAATCTATTTTAAATAAATTTGTCATGAAATGTTTATGAAAATTATGCGTTAATTCTAATGCTCCTTAACCGCACGAGAAAAATGTCGATGCAGAGTTAAAGGCGGTGTTCCGAGAACGTTTTACTGCTGTTTTATGAGTCGACTTATTAAGCACGTCACAGCTGGACAGGATATTAGCTGCAAATCGCCCGAGAGCCGCCATCGGTCATCGTCTTAAGTCTTAAAGTCGTTTTACATATCCGTTTTACTGCGTATAATTACTGAAGCGAGCGGCGAAAGCGACAAAGCTGTAATTAAAGTAACGGAGCGCGTCGTTAACATCGAAACCACGACTTTACTGCGATCCGATACTTAGGGCAAAAGTCATAACGCCGGAGGAAACGTCTAGTATGTAATCGATTGACGGATATTAAGCCACTAGATGCATAAAGATACCGTTCACCCTGCGGTTGCAACGCCCATGGCTCTCCGATTGTCTGTGTAGGACTCGCGCCATGCCCATAGCAGCGCCTTCTCGTATCAAAACCGGCATCTTGACGTCAAAAATCACGCACGCGCCATAAATACAAGTTAATTAATGCATCGAAATGAACTCTTTAATTACCGCCTATGTCGAAATGGTATTACTTATCGAGCGGGCGATTGGCTATTACAGGGGTATTCGTAATGTAATCATACACCTGAGTGTATCTCGGCCTGTGTTCAGTAATGGGTTGCAAGATTACCAATCTGTACCGTATTGTATCGGCTACCGTAGCATTATAGGATCGCGAGGGTGGCCGACGAGACTGACTGTTGCGGTTAAGGCACGAGCAATTGATCACGTTTGGTAGTGCGGTGTGTTTGGGCTTATCAGGGTACCGACGGCACCGTTAGCGAAGCTCTTGTCTCGCCCGCGCTGTATAAGGCGCGTGCGCGGTGGCGCCTCCGCCGCGCTCCTACTAAGCAGATCGTCCATCTAACGGTCGCCAGGAATGTCGTTAGCATCCAGTTCTGCCTATCGCGATTCAATTATGTTTTTCGATTGACATCACTCAAAAAACCCCAAAATCAACGGGAAAACACGTTCGATATCGGTCAATTTCCTTAATGACGCTTATTTGAAAAACTATAAAATTTAAACTGCACATCTATGACGATTACAAATCAATGTAGGCGTAGAATGTCTATTTTAAATTCCGCACCACGACGACACACACGAAGCATGAGTATTTAACTGAATAAAAATTCCTAAGTAAATTCGTGACGTATGTGTGTTCCCATCTTGAAATTCCCATGAAACCTAATGAATCGCTTTTACGTATAAGTGTGACGTTATAAATGGCTTTGCACGAACAAAAAACTACTTAATGCAAAATCGTGCGCTTAGCAACATGGCCCGAGGCAATCGAAATGAGGAGGCAGCTTGAATTTAAAATTTGCACTACATTAATATGGATTGTTGTTTCAATGAATGAATGTCAGCGTGGTCGCCATTCGTGATGAAGTTCACACGGGTAGACGTATACATTGTAGGCCGCATTTAAATATACTTCCTATGTATAGCGTAAATTCAATGCGAATTCTTTGAAGTAACCGTGCTGCGGGTACTAAATCTGAGTGCAGACCAAAATAGCATCATCTAACAGCATGCACCGCGAAACAGACACGCACGGGCCTTTACAGTTATTCGGTACAACGACCAGGGTGCGCGGGCGCGCTGACTCACGGGACGCTGGGGCGAGCGCCACTCGCCAAGTCGCCATGCGAATTCTTCACTGTTTAAGGTCCTCAAAAGTAACACACAATCTATCAACTCTCGTTACCGCTGGAAAAGAGAAAGAGGGAAATCTGAACACCAAAATCGCACTGGCCGCTTTCTTTCGAGTTCACGAGCTCGGGTTTTTCCTTTATAATTTAAACGCATATAAGATAATACTATTTTATTAGACAAACATTAAGATATCGATTATTTTACTGATATTATAAAACACCGAACACTATGAATTTCTACATCAATTCCAGTTTTTGCGAATTTCCAATAATACCGCAAAACTTGAACTTGATCTCTACAAACATTATCAAAATTTGCATACGTACAAATAACTTACGACTCCCATTATTTTTGTGAGACGTCAGATTAAATAAAAGGTTTTAAGTTGGCGAATTTGTTATATTGATTTTATCGATATTATGTTGTCAAAATAGTAGTTAATCACGAGAATTTTTTTTTTGCAAACTAATGGTGTTGGAATTTTAAGTCTGTCAAGTCAGCTGTTGGGTATAAATTGCTAACACATACCTACATGGGCTTACGTAAAACAAGCATATTACTGTATAACGGTACTGTCTATTAAACGGCGCAAGCTCACTGAATTAGTAACGTAATATATCAATAAGAGATCAATACCCTCACAACCAGTTTCATAACTAGACAAGTTACACTAGAGCTGTCAAGGTTATCTAGCATCTAGATTGCTAATTAGTTTTTATTTTTCAACCGACACTGAATCGACCGGTCAAGTTTATTGTTGCCTTTTTAGAAAACGTAATATACTGGTCGTCATTTTGATCAATCACAAAGAGTATTGACGTTATTTTCCAATTTTCTTTGATTTTCTTTGATTTTCACACGACAGTGAAAAGAAGAATCCCTAAATCAAATTATATTTTGCACATTAGATCGCTGTGACTCAACATTGTATTTATTTATGCTGCCTCCAGTAGCACTAAGCTCTAATATTGACGTTATTTTCCAATTTTCTTTAATTTTCACACGATAGTGAAAGAAAGAAGAATCCCAAACTCAAATTATGTTTTGCATATTAAACCGCTGTGATTCAACATTGTACTCGTATTTATTTATGAAGGCTCCAGTAGCACTAAGCTCTAATGTTGGCGTTATTTTCCAATTTTCTTTAATTTTCACACGATAGTGAAAGGAAGAAGAATCCCTAAATCAAATTACGTTTTGAATACTAGACCGCTGCGACTCAACACTGTATTTATTTATGCTGCCAGTAGCACTAAGCTCTAATGATTTTACATACAGATAAATGATGACTCTTCCTGAGCGCCAGTGGTATAATTAGCGAGGCTTGTTCCGCTATCAAGATCTATCACCCGAGCATGATGTTTGGACAAGTGCATAATTATTAAGATAATCTTCAGCGCGAAACCCGTTTTGATTTGAGCCACGATCGATTGAACAATAAATGTGTTGTATGTATATGATATACTTATGAGTAGGTAGGTGTTAACTCAACTGATTAATACCCAACTTTTCACTTGGATTCTTTTGTCTCAAATCACTGAGAATTAAAATAATAATATCATTTTATAGCTACTTTGTTGAAGTTGATAAAGATAGAACGATGTTTTAATCTAGACTTAGGCTAATTCTCTGCAAGAAATTTGCACAAGCCAAACTTAATTAAACTTCAATATACCTACCTACCGCATCTTTACAATCGCCCTATTCATTGCGATAATTACTTTTCCAGCTCTTTGTTTCCGAATTTCGCCTCACAGATTTTAGTCCGTATATTTTGTTCCCCCCGTCTGCTTTAGTTGTGTTTTATTTGTAACGTACGCTTAAAGGGTGAACCTAATAAAATATATTTACAAGTAATTGCTTCAAATAAGTTAATATGGCGTTTTCAATATGATATGACGTCAACGATATCGTTGCCATAGAAAAACTGTTCANTTTTGTATAGGGTAATTCCAGGATACATGCCCCAGTGGGATAGGTGCCGCGATTTTAAGTACACTATGTTACAAGCAACTTAGCCTAAAGTTGTAGTACGTATAATAACAAGGGACCTCCCCTTACCACTTTTCGCCTCGCAAACCATCAAAGAGTGCATTCGTTTAGCCAGTGAGAGCAAAAATCTTCCGCGGCCAGACCTTAGCGAGCGTCGAAATAATATTGGTAAGTATTTTTTAATGGATAATTTTTTTGTTAGCTGTAAAATGTAACAGATTTTTATATAATTTGATAGACTATCTTATAAATTATACGGGATAGATATGTTTAATTAGATTTTTTGTGTTATTATATTTTTTATTAAAAACGGCACCTATCCTATGCTAAAAGGATAGTTGCCTAATTTTTTTTGGGTATAGATGCCCTTAGGGCCATGTCCCATGCACCTAGGAGCATCTATCCCAACCTGCTCTTTTTGTCACAGGTAGCAAGTAAGAAGAAAAAAAGGATGTAGTACGGCTAACCTTAGGAAAGTAATAAATAGGGTGCCCTACTGATCGAATTACCT